TCGTCACTTAAGCAATACTTTGCTTCTTCTTCTCATACAGAAAGTCCACGAATTCATGGCGAAGACTACTTACTTCAAGGGCAAACAGCTTTTATGCTTCTCAAGCTAAGCGGAGAAGACGCCTCCTACTTTGTTGACAAATTTAGTTACGTGCAGACCGTGAGCGGCAACACAGTTTATAGTGAGGATAGATTACATGTAACCAGAGAAAAGCAGCGATGGCTGTCGGAGCGTATTGTTGATATGGTAGTATTTACACCATCAAACGACCTTTCACGAGTCATTCCAATGGAGCGAATGGACCTGATCTGGTCGCGCTTACGTCGTCCAATGATCTTCTACATTCTTCCACCAGATATTCTCACGGATAGCAATTCCATTTCTTTTTGTCCTCATTCACAGTGGGCTGTCTCCAGCAGAACTCCCGGCTATGATAATGTTTGTGAAGGAGAGGGGTTTACTACAAACTTGCTGCAGTGGGAGAAGCTGTCTAATCCACAATCTCCTATCCAGGTTCTAGAAGAGCAAGATGATGTGCTTTCTTTGAGCGGACTCGGTGATCCTATAGAACCGCTGTATGCCTCTGCTTCGTCTGGAAGCTTTGGAGACACATCAGTCACACCAAGACCTTATATCGGTTTTGGTGTTGCTGACGAGCGATTCTCCGTCCTTGACGGAAGGGTTAAGCAGCTACTGGAAATGGTTCAGCTGATCGCATCTAAACAAAATCACTTCTTTAACGCTCACAAGGCCCTCGCTCAGCAAGCGCAACAAACCAGCAATCTTCTGCATCATATGATGGACGAGATGAGAGAAAGAAGCGAGTTACACAATGCCGAGATAGAACAAGCGGAAAAAGAACTGAAAATTCAATTTGGACTTTATCTGGATACCGAAGAGAAGTCAGTACTCTCTGGCAACCTCAAAAAACTCAAAATAAATGACGTGGAGCTGACGCAAAGTCAAATTAGAACGTTACTGAACAAACCCTATCTTAGGTACTATAGGCACCCAGATTTTCCTGACGCAGATTTTATGCGGTGCTCATTATGTAACAGAGAGTCTACAGAGTTTGATCCACTTAAAGCTTTCGCTGAGTGTGCGCGATCCGATGCGGGAAGAGTTGAGAAGAAAGTTAATCTCCTCGGAAAGGACAGTGTGTTTTGCATGAAAAAACTGTCAAGCGTTTCTTCACGAGAGCGACCTCACTTGCCGTTTACTCGCCTTCTTGAGCGCTTGTCTATTCATGAGAGCTCTAAAGAGCATACGCAGCACATGGACGAGTTTTTTAACAGACAAACGGAGCGGAAGAAAACCACAGCAGATGATATTGCAGCGACAGTAACATCGAGTCTCGCCGCCTATACCATAGCTAAACAAGGGCTACCGTTTTCCACGCAATTCCCACTGCTTATAACGGCAATGAGATCTGGTTCTATCGGCGTCAGCGCACATCATGATCCCACTACGGTGCGTCGAATGGTAACGACTTTTGCGACGCATATGAAGTACGACATCCTAAAATATGTTATGACCAAGAAATTGCCGTTTACACTTCTTCTAGATGGTTCCTCATCTTCTCGTGGAGTAAAGTGGATAGTATTCTTACTTCGAACTGTGTCACCGCAGCATCGTCCTATCACACTGCATTTCTTTCTTGCTGAGGTTGAAAGCGAATCTGCAGAACATATCGTTGAAGCTCTCTTCAGACATTTCGACAGCATGGAATCTTGGCGGGATGCCCCAGGTTTACCACACTCAGTGCGACAGTACGCACTGAAGAACATGATAGCTTTATCAACTGATGGAGCAGCAGTTATGCAAGGGCATGTTGGTGGCGTCTACGCATTGCTGAAGGATCGCCTGACGGCAGAAACCGCTGGAGATTTTCGTCCGCGTAGTAGTCTCCTTCTTTCAGTGTGCATGGCGCATAAGCTCAATCTAGTTTTTGCCTCCCAAAACGGTGAACTATTCAAGCTAGTTCAGGCAGTCATTATGGAAATGCATCATCTCCTTGGTTCTACAGTGCGAACGACTGGACGAGCTGCTTACCATATGATTGCAAAGAAAATGCGCTATAAGCCACTAGAGATGTTGGCTTTATTCACGGTACGATGGTCTGCGAGCTTGGCAAATGCAGTATCCAATGTCATTAGAATGTATCCGGTTCTTATTGAAACTATGAGGGAGTTACAACGAGATAGATACGGCGCAGCAACAATGAGAAGAGCTAGAATTGCACATTGGGTGCTCACGGATGGGAGAGTGTTCCTGGCTTTAAACCATGCAAATACTACACTTCAAGAGCTCTCATTATTTTCGCTGAGGCTACAAAACGAAGAAGCTCTTTTGATAGATAATATCCGAAAATGGAAAGAGCTGTACTATCTTATCGAACAATATGTTCTTAGTAGCAGAACAACGACACGATTGCTTGAAAGGGGAGAACTCAAAGCATTTGATAGAGTGCGCGATAGATACCGTCGGATTGAAAGAGATGAACTTTATGATTACGACGCCAATTCAGGGGGAGAAGAGTGGAGCAACAACAACTTATTACTATCCTACAATCCCAGAGCTTTTCAAGATTATAACCCTTCTGTGGTTGCTGAAGAGGACAGCGACGAGCGAGAGGAGATGCTGACATTCAAACGATTCAGATACCTTGAAGGAACTCCTGACGAAGTGTACACTGCAGCTGGAGATCCAGAGCAAAGCTTTTCTGCTGAGGACGCCCCCGAGATTGACAAAAGCGCATTGTTGCGCTTTAACCTGGGAAAGGCTTACCATGATTTTGTGTCAACTTCTTTTCAAGATGCCGCGGAGAGGTTTTACAATGATGTCAAAGATCAACTGCTTGCGCGAATGGGCGAAACAAGAGCGCATGAGGTCCACGCGAACGACTTAATGGCGCTGGAAAAATCTACAATCATGGACGTAGTGGATTTCGATGGAGACTTTGACACGGGATTCGTTGACTACGTGCCATCAGGAGCTAATTACTTTAACAGAGGCTGCCCGAGCTACATTGACCCGGTCTCAAATGCGCTCGATCCACAAGAGCGCCATCGTTCTATTTACGCCTCAATTTCCGCTCTCGAAAGATACTGCAACATCCAAAATCTAAGATCCCCTATGATACGATTCTTCAACACCATACCAAAAACGGCTAAAACATGCTTGCAATGGAACAGCGGTTACAAAGATATGCGACAAAGTGCATCTTTCTATCAGATGCTTCTCGCTAATTACGATTCGTTACAGATACCGGGCGAAGTTGTACAGGTACTAAATCATTATTCGCTTTAAATGCAACTTAGGCATGATGTTTTAGGCAATTAAATGTGTGTTAGTCGTTCCTGCAAGTAATGCAGATCCAGAACGTAGCTTTTCGGCTGCGAATAGACTCACAAAAGATGAAAGAAGCAATTTGGCAACAAGCACCCTCGATTCATTGATGACGTATGTGATGATTTCTAAGTGCCTTTGAACTTGGGTCCGCTCTATTGACATTTGCAGAATACAAAGGGATGGTCCCAGCATTTTGACTGTCAAAATTCAACAGCTAGCCGCGCAATGGCTGCATCCTCGTCCAGGCCTAAATCTACATCCAGGACGACCTTCTACGTTTGGAAGAGAAGGCAGTCTCATGAAAGAGATAAAAACAGCTCTTGCAAGTGGTATGTTTTTCTTCCAATTTACCTGCGGCTACATATGTTTGAGATTTTAGGGGATGTCAACGGTTTGATTGCTAAACATACTGAACACTACATGACTATGCACGGGCTGAGAACTCGCCATGACGTCAAGGAAATCAGCACTCGACTTCAGAACGAAGAGGAGGCCAAACTAGCAATTTTTTCTATCGGCTCAGTTGCCGAAACAAGTCCATCGTAATAACTCAACGACAATTTTCTCGAACTTTCATGACAACATCTTTGGAGATAAACACTTTGTTGTCGCCAGTTTCTTGAAGCGGCCTTACTGCGCTCTATGACTGCAGACGAGAGGAGTTAAAAACCTAGCTAACCTAAGTATAAAAACAAATCAAGTCATACTCTCTCAAAAATGCAGCAAATAAAGCGAGTTTCTACATAAGCAAATGTTTTACATTGCATGTTGCTCAGTCGTTCTCATTTGATATATTGGTACTCAGCATTCTAAGAATTATTGTAACGAACATGTATTAATCATTTAAAATAATTATTAGATGTTATTACTACTATTTGATTAATAACTATTACATGTTATTATATTTCATTAATAACATGTAATAATTAAATAGTAAATTATTACTAATTGATTTGCTTTCAAGCGTACGGTTTTTTATCCAAACTACCCCTTTTACGACCCCCCCCCCCCACCGTAGGCCCCCTTTACGACCCCCCGTTGCGACAGTCGCATCACACGCTTGACCCTGATCTCAACCCCAAAAAATCTTAACAATTCCCCATTTACCGTAGCATATGCTTGACACATCGTTCATGCTATGGTAACTTTTCGTGTGTTTTCCATGGTTAAAAATGAAGAAAAAAATGAATGTAGTAAAATGACAAACTCCGCCCCTAAAAGTCCTGAACTCCTCCCACACACGTGATTATAAAACTCATACATAAAGAAGTTCGATCATGTATTTTCGAACTTTGAAGGTGCACCAGTTCTCGGAAAATGGTGATGTAGGGTAAAAACGGTAAAAAAATTATGAGACACCCTAATATACAACAGCTCCAAAAAGAAATAGCCCAGTTAAATTCTTCAAAAAACAGCTAGGAATCTTGTCGAAAACCCCAAAGTTTCGAAAATTTTGAAAATAATCATTTATTTGTAACGTAAGGTTACAAATACTACTGAATTTGAAAATGAAATTTTCTAAAAAGTTATGAAGAGTTTTTCTCAACAAAACTTATGTTACAATATAATAATAGAACATTTTATCTCCTATACACACAAATCAGCATTAAAAAACTCCAGACAGCCAACAATGAAACAAAACAAGACATTTATGGTGTAATTACGGGCATTCCTTGTGGATATTTCTTGCGCATTTCCTCTAAGAAAGCCTCGAACGATGTCTGAAAGGGCAGAATCCAGTAGAAGTGTTTATCACTCCAAAAAGGCTACAAAGTACCTTTTCTGTTTCCGTCAATCCGCCCATCCATTTGCTCATTTTGTCGGTGACCTCGTTTTTGTCTTTTGGAAGTGGCTGAAAACAAGATATATTGGTTATTATAGGTATCATACATAATCCATGGGCTCGAAGCTAATACTCACATTGAACATTTGGCGTAGTCGCTCCATATTTGCTATACTTATGCCAGGAATATCTTGAATCTTTCCATCTAAATAAATGAATTGTAATCTATGCAGATCTGTTTACAAATAACAACATGCTCCATGAGTCTTGAGAAAAAATTTTTAAAAAACTAAAAAAATCAAAAAATATTTTGATATACATCATTTTACTGCAACATTAAGTGCTCTTTATACTATTATACATATCGTAGATCTTATGTGCTAGCAACGGAACTAAAACTAAACCTTTTGAAGATCGTAAATGTTCGATGGATACATATATTGGCAGTTGGAAAGAGTAGGTCGTAAAAACAAAATCAAAGGTAGAATGAATTTCCTGGACCTTGCAACCTTTGTAGGAACAAAAATTTGAGATAATGTAGATTAAATGCTTCTACTACTTTGAAAAATTATAGACATTAGTCTGACATTTAAAAAAAGCATAATTACTTTTCTATGCTATTCCATCAAGTCCATGTTGATGTTGAAAATAGATTACCCAATATAAGCATTTCGTTTTTCAGTTTCAATGTAGCCTTGATATAGGTAAAAGATTGAAACATTTAAATTATGTGTGTTTGTGCTCACAAAATGTAGATTTATTGGATTCTTAGAATATTCTCGAAGGATTTGAAAACATACCCCAAACAGATGATGCGACAGCAATCAGAGCTACAAGTACGACAATCTTCATCATAATTTTTTTCCTGAAAGTGAATATTCCAGTGAATGAAGGTTTGTTAAATTTGCTGGTAAATATACATCGACAAGCTACAAAACGCATTCGAACTAAAAAAAATTATAGAGAAGTATCAAAAAAAGACGTGAATTTTTATGAGTAGTAATACAAATTATGCTATTCAGAGATCATCTGGTTTGAACACTTATTCACCTTTCATATATACGATGCCAAGGGATCAGCATGTGCATCAGTACCTGTTTATTAACACTATATCCGAGATTATCCCAATCATCGAGAAGAAAACAGTCGACCGTAATCACACATTTAGTAAACACTATCCAAATGATCCGTTGAGCTGTGATCAGCTAGATTTTCGTCTGATCAAATAGAATTCCCATGTAGAACTATGACACTTGTAAAGTTGCGATGTTCAACTGAAGAGAGCATCCTAGCTCCCGACGGAGTTTGCGTAGCCCTAAATGGCTTCTTTTTCAATTCACAGTAAGGAACAAACTATTGATTTTTCTTCGTTTGTACGGTATGAGACTTCAGAGAAGGTTTCAAGCCTCTGAGGAGCGAACAGGGCTCGGCACGAGCTGGCACCAGGGAAATTTCAAAACGAAGTCCCGTTTGATATTGAATATTTTGTACGAAGTCCCTTTTGACCTGTTTTGAAAACCCGTCATCATTTTTATATTATTGTAAAAAATTGTAGTAGTGTTTTCATGCATTTCTGATTTCATGAAAAACTTTTCACAGCTTTCTGAGCTTTTTAAGTGGAGGAATCACATCTTGAGGAACAGAAAAAGCCGATTTTTCGACTGCGGAGGAGACCGAGTTGTTTTCAAATTGCTATAAAACGTTGAAAAGAGAACATTATGAAACTGTTTCTTCTCCGTATGTAATCTTTTACAGTGTAGATACATTTTATGTAAAAAAGTATGAAAACTTATGTGAGCAAATTGTCGGTGCCAGCTCAGCTGGCACCCAGCTGGCACGGTGCCAGCTAATTCAGAAAAAAGTTCGGCACAGCTTTCATTCACATAAGTTTTCATAAATTTTTGGCCCGTAGTTCCGGTCCACCAACGCGCATGCACACACCAAATTTGGTGTCATACTATTGCGTTTTGGCTGAAAACAACGCCTTTGTTTGTTGATGGACAGCTTGCCAATATCATGCCGGTGGCATGCCGGCGGCATTTTTGCGGCAGTTCTCCACCTCAGCGCTGTAGAAACGATATCCCCTTTGCTTTCCGCCCTAAAAACGATATCTAGCTTGACCCGGTGCCAGCTGTGCTGAGCCCTGGGAGCGAATACCCTTAATTTGCCTTCAAATGGTTTGAATGTTCTTGTGAGCTTGTGTAAAACAGAGCAGCAGATTTGATTTGTGCTGAATTGGCTAAGCAATCAACTGATCTGTAAATTCGAAAAGTTATAAACTTTTCGCAATCTCTCGTCAAGAAGCTACATTGTTGCACTGTAACAGCTGTTCTCACTCCTACTGCTCTCAACTTTACGCTCGAACCATTTTATAAAAATGTACATAGCCTTATAAATTTATTGTTGTCAACAAATTCGCGAATGCATTCAGTCACAAAGATTATGGCAGCTAATCATGGCACATGCCGATTTCCACAGTTTTCCTACAGTATGGAATAATGAATGATAGATGATTTGTTTTACACCATGAATCTGTGTTGAACCCAGTTCGTAATGATATCCCCAAGGTCCGTGAACACAAGTGAGAGAATCAACGGAATAGTTTATACATATTTTTCAAGAGACTCCAAGCTCGATTATTGATAATATTGGTGATCGGCTCAAGTAAACATATACGAGTTTATACATAATTTTGTGGTAAACAATAGTTTGAAGCCAACCTCATGGTATACTTCACACTCGTGAATTCGAATAACTATCGGAGCTACGGGTTATCAAGAAGTTGCTCGGTTTTTTGATAGTTTATTTAGTGGGAAGACAAGGCATCGATGATACTTAAACAAAAGATTTTTGGGTCTGTTTCTGACTATTTTGTTTGGAAAGTCAGTATATCAGAAGTCATACCTGCATCTTTCCTGGTATCGTTCATCATATATAAAGAATTATATTTTGCCTCAAATGACTTAAGATGAGGATTTTGGCGCTCTTTTCATCTTTGTATGCTTCTTGTTAGCATTTTGGACAGTATTTGAAACTCAAAAGAAAGCCTTTTCCTTATCATGTATTCAGAATTGAAGTTCTCTAAAGTTTTATTTGGGAAGCTTAACGAGGTGACATTTATTTCGATCCTTGACACCATGCAGAAGGGTCACGGGCCCTAGTATTGGGGCAAAGCTCTGTATTATTTACCCGGCTTTATAAGGTACACGTCACAATATATGGTTCAACTTGAAGTACTGTAAATGTGGAGTTGTTTTCATTTTGATTAACTGTTCCCAGTTGTAGGCCAGAAACTTCCTGTATTCTGATAGGTTGTCTGCAATTGATGCAAGTTTCCTAATTGCGTTTACAAACATTCGTTCTCCTGTTAATATTTTTCTAACAACTTCGCAAGACGTCTGAAAGCGCTTTTTCGGTTCTATAATATACGTTTTGCTTGAATTATAGCTCCACCTGTGGATTTAGGCATCACATCAAGGTGCAGTTAACATAAACGTTTATAGGACTTTTTTAACCCCCTTCTGGAGGAAGGGATTCATATAATGACACAGATAAGGCAAGCTGAATGGACCCGAGATTACCGCTCTTTCAACAATTGCTAGTGCACAGCCGGGGTGCAGACGAGGCACAGTTATTTTATGTCCTATATAATTTCTGAAGAAAGCAGAATAGGTCTTTTTGCCTTTGACGTGTATGACCTTCAAGAATTATTTTCATAAAATCAATAGAAAAACGGTGGGTAAAGTAGAAAGAAACTCGGAAATCATTTGACTTTGATCCGTTTCCGCAAAAAAAATCCCTTCAGAAAAACCTTGCATATTATGTACGGTTCAGGCTCGGTAGAAGTTTCCCAAGTTTCCCAAATTACAGAATCATTTCCGGGTGAAGGTGTACCTTGCCAGAGACAATGAATCTCATATCTTCTGGTAAGTAAGTCCAGTGTTAGCGCTACTGGTACAAACGGATATTCCCTTCATCGCTTCCAGGATTCAACTTCGCCGACCAAAACTGTCCAATTTCACCTGGATGTTTGGTGCTTTTTATGTCTCGTATGGTGCAGAGCCAAAATTGACTTCAATTTAAACTCAAAACACCCTTACATAGAGTGTAGAGTTCTGTGAAGTTTCGTGAAGCATGAAGAAGTAAGATTAGAGTTAGCCACGCCAGTAATGCCGGCATTCTCCCTCGCAAGTGACCGGCATTCACAAGCTTAGCTATTTGTTCACGCGCAGATTTAGCCGCATTTTTTCGGCAGCGCAGGCACACTGTATTAAGCGGAAAAGTTACTCGACTGTAGCAATAGCCGTGGTTACACAATGTGATCTAAAGTCGAAAAAATGCTAAAAGTTTTATTTATATTTCGAGTCATATGCATCAATATTCAGCACTTCTTTCTTTTTCAATCTATACTTGAAAGATCTTTATATATGATATGTAGTGAAGTTGAAATGAGCATTGAAGTTTCAACACAATTCGCATACAAGCATATCACATAGGTGTTATCTTTGTCCTTGAATTACTTGAGAAAACGCTGTGAGAATTTTGGCCAGGCAGCAGAAACTTGAAGATCTTCGTTCGAATAGTTCTGAAATCATGGTGATTTATGCAGTTGGTAAGCGAATTATCTAAAATTTTGTCGCTATAACAATATAATTTTTGTCGTCTTTAGAGCACATGGTCTCAAGAGCAGACATGTTCTGGGAATCACAAGGTGATCTGTCAAATTTGCAAAGCTAGTCAAGTATATGAGTAGGTAATTTACATGTCCTAGAAAAAAACTGTATGTCTTGTGTGACAGTCTGTGCATGTCTACCTATGACTAGTCAGGAGGTTATATATAGGGTGTCTCAACATAGTAATTAATTGTTGATATTTGATTGTCTCCAAAGCTCTCGCAGAGACTCAGACATTAATTTGTGACGCTGGCAGCTTGGATTGGTGATAGAAATGAACCATCGATTCACGTTACTGTAAGTTACGGTAAGAACTTTGGAAAGGGGTTTCATTGTGAATGCCTAGCTACACATAAAAGGCGGATAGAGCCAAGAACTCCACAAGGAATCAAACCTAAATAGCTGATTCTGTATAAAATTTGTGCTTCACAGTGTTTTTTTGCTGAGAAACAGCGGCTGTTTCTCGCTGTTTCCTGAGGTTTAATTTCCTAACATGAACAGTCCTACAAAGTTCTAAAGTGTCTTTGAGATCGGCCTGTCCGAAAATACCACAAGAAAATCACTTAAACTTCCTGGATAATTGAGATAACAGCTAATTTAGCGCTAGGATCGTGCAATCTCCCACCGTTTAACATAAGGTACATATACTGTAAATCTAGGTTGAAGCCAAACTCATAGTATGGTTCAAATTTCGATGCATCGTGGAAATTCTGCACAATGTTCTTTGCAAAAATTGGTATAATAAGTCCAAAAAAATGATCCACAACCTGCAGTTCTGCTTGAATGCTGATTTTGTGTATCATACCCCAATATGGACTTACTTATTCAAAACTATGAGTAAAATCGGGTTCAGGTAGGAGAACAGTATCCATACGCAGTTGATGATACATTGCTGGTAGTTTTTGGTAAGTCCCAGCCGAACTGAAAGGAAATGTTTCACTTTAGATAGACATTTTTTGAAGCACCTGAATTATGCCACGTTGCCATCAAACCAAACATCCATCCATTCAGAAAAGTTGCTTGTAGAAAGATCAAAATCTCTTGCTTATGGGACTTACTAGCAGCTTCGCCTTGTTTTTTACTCTGCAATGTATAATTAAAAATTGTCGGATCGTACTGAATGTACATCTTTCCAGACGTTTGATGACAGTAAAAAAATTTGGTTGTATTTCCAACCCAGGTTCAATTACTGTAGAACCTTTCTGTTTATAGAAATGTTGAGCGAAAATTTTTGAAACTCACAACAACCAGATGAATAATGATACCGACGTACATCAAGTAACAGATTAGTATAGCAGGCCAACACCATGCAAGTTCAAGAATCTTGAAATAAGATTTAGTTTAGATTTTCGGTTATTGTTCTTTTAAACGCTAACCTGAAGATATCTTGAGCTCCACATGGTAAAATCATATTCCCAGCCAATTTTTCCGAAAACAAAGGCCATGCCTAACCATGACCAAAGCCATACGGTAAGGATAAAAAGCCAACCAACGGCTAGAATAAACTGAAAAAATATATTTGCGATTGATAGTTTGCTACAGCAAAAGTCAAAGACTCTTGAGAATCTTCTTTTACACTTACCCATAATGGCCATGTAAGCTGATTGGGATCTATCCTCTTCTTGATGATCAAAATGCGACTTATGGAGAGTACACAAAAATAAGGAAACATTGCTTGCCAAAGGCTATTTACGGTAGAGCCAACAAACTGGAAAAACCCCAAAGTTGGTTAGTGTTGTGAATTTCTTTTAGCAAACAAAATAACGTTCTCTGCTAGTCCACCTTTGCAGAATTTTTCTTAAAGATTTTTTGGCAAAAAAAAATTCTCACACTGGAAAAGAATCTGGAGTTGTGGATAATTCCTGGAAATATTGGAAAAAATCCGCTGATAAAATGACAAATTAACTGGCCAAGATCGATGAGATTAATCATATTCATTATGCGATATATAAGCACACGATTTATTTCCTTGTCTGTCCACATCACCTTGAAAGCGAAATATTATTACAAATCATTTTTTTCTCAAAATAAAAAAAAACCAGGGTTTGGAGTCTCGAAAAAGTTCCATACTCACTTCAAATTCTGTTGCTCTCTTACAAAGATTTTGGGGGTAAAAAACAGATGTGAAGCCAGTTGGAGCTAGAATTACATTCAACTTAACAAATTGGAAGAGCTAAGAAGCATGAACTTTTCTCGTTTTGCCTTTCAAGTTCAGAAGAAGAAAAGACATAAAAAAAGAAAACGTGAATCACACTCACCCAATTAAAGATGATATAAAAAGGAATCATAAATGCAGACAAACAAATATAAATTAAGCCTATCGTAATCGCCTCTGGATCGTCATTAAGAGCAAATAGTGGAGTACCATGTTGCACTTCGTCGTTCATAGTATTTTTCGTACAAACTTGAGAGCTCACGCTTGTTGAGATCACGATCTAGTGAAAGAGACTGAATTTTGGACGTGTTATCAAGTGGAAGACTAGACGGTTCAGATAACAAGCGGATGGCAATTTATTTCAACGATATCTTTAATTCAGAGAAATGATACAGCGTATGTGCACATGGGCACTTCCTTCTACAGAATATAAACGAAATTTCTGGTCTAGCTCACTATTTCATTTCCTGAAACGGCCCGGAATGGCTAGACGAGTGTCGTCAACATCGAATTACTGACAGATCCAATTTCCGAAGTAATAGTCTCAATAAGACAAGATATGGTTGGAATGCTTTGAAGTGAGGACGATATTGTGATAAAATATCTCTAACAAAAGGGGAATTATGCTGTTTCAATTTATAAACTTAGGGGCCATACAAGACAACCAAAAGACGCTGATAGGCCCGCAGTGGGCCTCTTTCTGTGAGCTCTGAATCGCTTATAACTGTTTAGTTTAACCCGCCTGCCCTACTCTGTAATTATAAACTGAAAATATGGACTTCGGTGGTGTAGGCGAGAGTTATTTCAAGGGAAAGATAATGCACTTGACACTGCCATGTGAAGTACTTAATGTTCTTATTAGGGCTCAAATAGTTGGCGGATGTTGAGATAATAATGACGTTGCGTAATAATACATGTAGCCTCCCGCACAGGAATAGTGCAACATCCCCCTTCAATTTTTGTTCTAAATTTGGAGTTTATTTGACTAGTTTAAAAAAAGCATTACGGATCTTGCGGAACATCTTCATTGGTCCTACATTTCACGGCAAATTTATTCGGGACCACGCAGATCATGTGTAGAAGGCTATGAATAGCTCCCTCTTTCTGCCAATAAATAAACCCAATTTGAGGGTTCTTCTAAACGGTTTTCTAGCTGGGCGACTACTTCCGGTAGTGCACGAATTGCATTGTCTATTTTACATCTGCTATAACACTTTATTCAAACGTATATACAGGTGTGAAATATGAAATTATATCAAATTAGCATTAGTACTACAAAGTCGCGGAAATCAAACTTCTAGATTGACCGGTTTTTCAATATATTAGTCTAATTAAGGCATTCTGAAACAAAAAGTTCAAAATTAGATTTCCAAAGCTGATATGTTATACGACAGAAAATGGACAAGGGAAGGATGTGATGATGCACAATCAATTCTGATAAGCAACATCAGCAGGAATTCTAGGTTGGCTAAAAGATAATTTCGCCTATTCTGACGGTCTGTAAAAGCTCGGAGACAAATTTTTTTTTTATGTTAATGTTCAGTATCATCAGAAAAAGTACATAAGGAGAAAACAGCGCTCCGTACAAGAAAGAGAAGATTTAATGACGAAACGACGCAAGGTATTAAGATAGCCCGATTTTACTGAAATTCTCATCGAAAAACAAGTAAAAATTTTGGTGAGTTAGATGGGTCTGATGTCTACACAAGTATATAGAATTGCGTCATAATGTATCACCGTTGAAATTGTGGTATTTGGAAATTGCTTGAAGTTTTACCTTCGTTATTTGTAAGCGCAACCTTTATTTTTGCTTAGTGGGAAATTCTCAATGGTGCACAAGTTGTCTTGTCTGTCTATTAACTAGAGAACGAGAGAGAAGCTTGAGTAAGAGATGCAGAAAGTTGCAGAAAGTTTGCTCATATTGACATCTAATTGTGTTTTCATATTGATAAAAACATCTCACCAGCGGCAAATGATGGTAACAGTAACTTATGATGATTTTTTTTCTTGAAATGTACACTTATTAAATTTTCAAAAATATTTCGGCTTGGTATTATCCAAATTCGTACAGTTTTCGGTCACCTGTCAAAACGAAATCATTTGTTAGTCAACCTACGCAGTGGAATTACAAGGTAAGTGCAGGAAGCTCTTATTGTCAATGAAATTTCGATTTGTACAGTGAAATTATGCGTGAAAGTTTTACAGGAAGTTACTTACTGGGGCAACAACAAAATCAACCATACAAGTATCACTGAGACATTCAAGCAAATTGAAACCATGTCAAGCGTCAGTATTGAAATTTGTGAGAAATCACACTGATATGTCCAGCAATCATCATAGAAATTCCGTTCATCACCTTAAGATCTGCTGCATCCATTTCTGCAGCCTCGTATAATCTCAACATCTTATTGGTTATATGTTGAAATTTGGTGGCTGAAAGTAATGGTTGGGGAAAGGTTATGATGGAGATGTTCAAACAAAAACGACAAACCTAATTCTTGGTATTCTTCCAAAGCCTCAGCAATTCTGGCTCGAGCTTCAAGTTGAGCTCGGAACGGATCATCTTTGCGATTCGATACCTCACTCACTTCCGATGACACTGTGGCGGTGACCATTTCAATCAGAGATGCTACACGGGTGAACTCTATGACACTCTGTCATGTTATTGCCAATCTTAAAATTACCGCATTCTTCCTCAATTCGACTGTTATTCGGGTTATCATCATCTTGCTCCTTTTCTCTTATGACGCAAACATCAGAAACATCAACTTCAATCATACCATTTCGCTCTAGAAATAATCAAGTCAATGTCATTCTCTAATTTGACATAAAGGCTCAAAATAGTCAGATTCGCAAAACCTGATAAACTCGTGGCCCGACACGCAGGTGACAAATGTCAAGCTGGTCATTTTATGTGGAAAAAGCATATCATAAGGCAGCGGTCCCGAGATTTCCATTTGGGCGGGGGGAAGGGGGGGGGGGGGATGGGTGGGACAAAGAATTTCATCGGACAAAGGTGTGGCGTTAGCCAAACACTCCGAAAAGTTATTCTGGGATTTTCCCCAAAGTTTCTGCGGACCCATGACCCCGAAAAAAATTTGTGCAAGGCTAGTATGATTTTCCAGAGAATTAAATATTCTAATTATTTACAAGAATAAACAGATCAATTGCACATTTTTATAACTCATGTAAGTGACTTTCAAATAACAGCCCCGTATGAATCTGCTTTGCTCATAAAGGAACAAGAGGTAGAGGGAACAAAGTGCTGATATTCGTAGAAAAATTACGCGACTTGATGGTGTAGCAAATTTTCTATATTTCCCACAATGAGCAATAAAAAATGTTTCGTTGGCACGCACAAATAACGTAATGACCCCAAACTTCGGGTGTATACTCGCCATGAGCAAGATCATGAACTCATTTGAAGAACTTATGTAGATAAAGATGTTTTAGATTTTTATTATAAAGATATATAGATATTTTTTTCGCCATTGCTACCTGCCACCTTGAATGTGGCAAAGCTTGCAGTTCACATTAGTTTCTTGTAATTTTATAGAACTGTTTTACAATGTTCGCTAAATGTTGGAATCTGATTTCAAAACTCGTCCTCTTTGTCAAATCCAAGCAACGCTAGCAATCAATCGCCATCGAGAAGGAAAGCGCGCCCGAAATGAACAAGCAAAGCAAGTGGCGCGATGAGAGGGAAATCGTAAACTAAAGTTGCGAACGAAGACATTTCCCAGATTCACATTTGCCCTCATCCCCCCCCTTCCCCGTACCGGGCATGATTAAACTCTCCTTGAGCTTTAGATTGCTTTCGTCGAGAACACCTTTGCTCCGCAATCAACAAATTTTTGATAGAATTTCAAACCATTACCAGTCTCATCACTTTCGCACGTGGTACTGTTGCCATCGGAGGGTTGAGTCTCAGCATACAAAGGCCGTTCATCAAAATGTTCTTCTTCACCTAAATTTCTCTCTCAGCATCAAGTTCGTGAAAATAGACGGGCTTCAAACCGCACCTGTTTTCTCTTTTGGTATCATTCCTGCATCCGCGGAAATTGTTTCCTTTGCGGAGTCATTAGGAAGCATAGCATCATCCGTAGCTATTGTGGCAGGCTCAGATCCAGGCTCCTCAAACACCAAACATTGTCTACCAAGTATTATAAGTCCTTAGCATTAGGTACACTTTACAGCGCTAAACTAAGATTGTGATGGCTAGATACAAGAAAAAAGTTTTTTTGCGCTCAAAAAGCAGTGGCTCGGAAAAATGGAGTCCTGCTTGTGGTTCTTTTCATGCGCTAAGTCAAAGAAAAAAACGCAAAAGTCCGCCACCCCGCCCACTTCCATTAACTTGGCGGGGTTAGTGGAGTGGGCTTCACTGGCCAGTGGCCAAAGACGTCAGTAGCCCTCCACCCGCCCACGATACGGATAAGTCATAGCTATTCTTCTACCGACCTTTGCATTCTTAATTACGTATCATATCTCTTGTTACACTTCACTCGTCCAAGCTTTTTTACAGGGAGGCTTTCGGACTTACTGACTTTGATTGAAAGTAGCTGTGGAGCCCGTAACTGGGACCGCGACAGGAAGGCTCAAAAGAGAAACTAACAGATCCCTACTGCTTGGGCTACCTCTTTGAGTTATTTCTCTTTTGTGCTGTTGAAAACCACAGTAACAATGGCTTGACGTATCACATTGATGGAGAACTCACCGGGATGACTACTCGCTGTTTCTGGGGCGAATGGTCGCGCGCAAATTGTGCGAGCGCTTTTACTGCTGTTTCAACTCGTGGTTTTTTGATGTTCAGTCCAGCCACCTCACGGCGGGACAGGCACGCGAGGTGGCGTATCTCCAAGATGCCGCGCGCCTCCAGTGTCTTCCGAAGAGTGATGCTCCTGAGGAAACACTTGCCATTCCGGTTTATATGTGAGCTAAAGCTTTTACCAACCCAGTATTTGTAGAAGTCAGCGACAGCCTACTGACAATCTTAGCAATCGGTTCTTGACATTCACTAAGGTCTGGAAAGATTTGATCTTCGGAATTGGCGTCGTCGTTGTTTCGTGGTGAACCGCTTATATTTTGAGATGGATTGGAGAGTAGGACCTACAGGAAGGATATCATGGATAAACACATAATATGCCAAAGCTCTGGTACTTTTTCCTCCGTCGGCTGAACGTTAGCGAATGGACGTCTCGCTCCAGGAGATTTCAGCACTCCTTTTGGTGACGCTGGAAAGGGGCCCTCGATCGAAGGCGTTTTTTCGCTAGTGCCATTATTTAGCGCAGGCTCTTCGAATGAGTTGCCAAAATGGACTCGGCGGAACTGTAACATCAACACATGTTCGTCTAGTATAATCTCGATACCCTACAACGCCTTATTAGCCGTTTGTGTCGTCTCTTCTTATTGCCAACAAATAAAAAACAGAAGCAAAAAAACTCAAATTTGTTTGCCATTATGGACCACAAACCTTCTTCTCAGCCGTTGAAGGACTATCAATCTTCTTCAGAATGCCAGGTGTACCAGCGACCCTCTGCAGCACAGATGGGTTCATAGCATTTGTGGTCGCAGATGTATTCCTAGAAATTACACATGAACTTTTCAATAAACAAGTAAGTAACGCACTCGTTAGTCTCCACATTTTTTGACGTCGTTACCACAGAATCAGTGGCATCTCCAGGTAACTGCTCATCAAAGCTCTCATCAGCCGATGCTTGAGACACTAGAACATCTTGAATCTCACGCAACGGTGTTAGGTCATCCAATGATTCGCTGGCACTGTCTGTATCGCTAATCTTGGAATTCTGTTCGCGAGAAGCCGTTGCGTCCTCCGTGATAGCATCATCTGCTTCTCTTGTACAAAGTTTAGACGTGGCGTGGTTTTTGGTAGTGCTTTTGAGTGATCTTCTTCTATTCTTGGCGACATATTTCATCGGTGTACCCTACAACATCCTCTTGATAATAACACGAAACGGATAAACAATAGGTACCTTCTTTTGACTTCGACGAGATCGTGGAGGTTTCGTCACATCACTTGGTGTAGGATGACTATCCGTGGAAAATTCCGTAGATAACTCGCTGGAGTCTGTCGAATCTTCTGAGCTTTCCAAGTTAGAATCGGGTGCTGGATTCGTAGTGGAATCAACAACCTAAACCAGAATGGGTTGATGAAGAATTCTAAACTGTTCGCACGGATGCTGATGAAGCCCACATAGTTTGTATAAAAGTAAAAAATTCGCAACCGCTGCAGATAAGTTACATGAGATCTACGTATGCAATGACGTGTGCGAAGAAACACTAGACTAACAAAACCTGCAAAAACTAGAACTTACCGTATCGAAAATTAGCTTTTTTGAGCTCCTCCGCTGTTGTTGGTTGGTGTTCTCGGGAGAAAGATCGAGTTTCACCAGATCGGTCTTTTCGCCATTCAACTCCTCATGCGTGACTGTGAGACCGCCATCTGCTTGCACCTCATTTGGCAGATCGGAATGAGCTGGTTCAGTTGACAGGGGTAAGCCTCCGTTCGCAGAACTGGAAGATCACAAGTTTTCGTAACATCACCAAAACATTAGCTTCTTTCGATCATCATTTTGCAGGACAGTGGGACGTGAAAGTTGTAGTCCAAAAACTTTTGAGAACATCATTGTTTGAAAAGTCATTTATGTTTGCCTTCGCGTTCGCTGCCGATATGCGCAAAGCTGCTGGCTTGATTTACACTAAGTCTTCACGCTATTGGCCCAAGTAGTATAGTGGTTAGTACTCCACGTTGTGGCCGTGGCGACACAGGTTCGATTCCTGTCTTGGGCAGCGCTTTTGCAGTATCATTGATTTGCAAACTTTAGCGTTTCAAGCAATGTTATGTAACTTTGAAGCGATAACTTGCGCAAAGCAAAGCGCAAGGCTGTTCTTCTTTCCCAAAGCAGTTTGGAAGATAACGAAGAGATTTTTTTCAGCATGGCGCAATATTTTCAGCATTTTGAAATGAAAAGAGAAATTTGAATAGTTTACAAAACGACTGAACTCACGCAGATTGGGAGGACTCCAAATCAAATTCTTTTCCAAGATTAGCAATAACTGCCGACTGCGATTCTTCATCCAGGAAAGGCATGCGATCACTGAAATAAAGCGGCTAACTCTCTGAAATAAATTGTTGTTCTAAATTACAATAACAGAAATTCCTGTACCGTTTTGCGCTGAACACTTCCTTCTGCCTTTCGGTCAGCTTCATTTTCTTGGCGGAATCGCTCGTACCGATGGGAACATAGTCAACGGAATCTTCTTCAAGCAATCCAATAAACTTACGACGCTTGGTCGCTGACGTCTGCAGCGATGGGCTGGGCTGCGGACTATCTCTGATCTACAAAGGTATATGATTCGATTCGAGACCAATAAACTAACAAGAGCTAAACAACAGTCTGCGGTCAGCTTACGCACCAATTTGATGCATGATTAGAAATGAGAAAAGAAACACAAACACAGCGACAAACCTCAAGAACCTGTTGAAAATATTCATCAAGTCATATTCATGATATACCTCTTCTTTCTTCAAAATCTCATTCACAGATGGAGAAGAAGGCAATTCCGTCTCCTTCTTCACTATAGTGATGCCATCAGGATCTTCTCGTGCCTTCTTCATGGAAACTTCTTCGGCTGTAACATTCGCTGGAGCGGCGAACCGTTTAGATCTACAACAGGAGATGAGATAGAGTGGTACAAAATCAATTTCCTTACCTTCTTTTATGGATTGGATCTTCATTTACTGCTGCACAACTGTTGATAGTGCCTTGACTGCACTGTGACGATGAATTAGACTAAAAATAATCGCACTGGCGCAAGTGCTAAGCTTGGGAGCAAATCTTACATGACTTTCGGTTACCTCCCCATACTCATTGATATCACTGCTATTTATTGACTTTCTAGGTAGTCCAGCTGCGAAAACTATTCGTTTCTGTACAAGATTGATGAGAATCTTTCTATAAACATTCTGAGCTTTAGCAGCCAAAGCGGAGCGGATCATGGAACCTCAATTCTATCGGATAGTTGAACACTGCCTTCGCAAATGTATTGTTCCAAAGATCCGCAGCTGCGGCTCGAAGTTTAGCACGTTTTCCGTGCATACCACCCAGCAACTGGATAAAGAACGGTGCACATTCGTTGAGCATACTTTCATCATAAGGACCAGAAGCCTTCGTTTTCACTAGTTTGAGAACCTAAAAGCATTTGCAAAAGACGGAAAATTAGTGCGAGCACAGAAACTCACAGTAAGATAAGCCTCAAGCGCAGGACCCGCAATCATTTTGAAACGCACATCTTCAGTGAAAATGAGAGAATACATGTCCTTAAACAGGCCGGACATGGACAGGAACATATTACGAATCTGAATTATAGAAATAAGCAAACGAGAGAACGAATTTTCATCTTGTCACTCACTATGCTAGGTTTTTTTATGTTTTGAAACAGCTTCATGACGACGTTAATAATGTGTGAAACGTCCTCCAAGATTGATTTCGAAAGTTTACTGTCCTTCTGCAAAGCTAGTTAGTAAAGCGCTGCAGTAATCGAAACACTCATAAGCACTCAGAATCAGAAAAGTCAATACACGGTGTGCAAAATTATCGCGGATCATTACGGGAGTCCGAATCTTGTTAAACGAATGTGTCCTATGGCCTGGTAAAGCAGATGAAACTTGAAGTTTCAAAGAGTTTAGCAACCACACATTCGTACAAGTCTAACAGGAGTACCAAACTGTTGAAAAAACTACCTCTACCGTACTGATCATCTCGATAAGCTTTCCACCCACTATGGTCACAGCTTTGATCAAGGGAGTGATTTCTCCTAATGCGCTGAACTCCGAGGAAGCCGCTAAAACAGCAAAATCAATCAGCCAAAGGTAAGTTGATGATCATGACACCCACCGCTAAACACTTCGTCTTCGTTGATGAAATTGAAGGGATATACCTCCACCAGAGAAGCGAAAGCGGAAGTGTAAACGTTAATGCAGCAAAACTGCAAAAGTTTCGTGTCAGCGATGGTATCCGCAATAGGAACGGCTTACAGTTTCTGGCAATATCAAGTCGTCATATAGGCCTTTTAGAATAGTTTCAGCGCTGCATCCATGCTCATGTCGTACACCAGTCTGAGCCTCGGAATAAAGCTCTCCAAAAGAGGCGGTGCACTTTTGCAGAACTTTTGCATCAACGTCCTGAAAAAACCCAACAAGCATCTTCAAAAAGGGAAACAAAAAAGCACCTCCTCAGCTACGTTTGCAATTCTGAAAATCAGTCGTAAAAGACCAAAGGTAGTACGAAAATCTGGTCGAATAAGGCCACCTTCATTTATATCGCCACTCTGAAATCAAAAATGCTCAAGATATAAAATCCTATGAGCTGAATTTATATAAAAAACCTTACATCGCTAATAAAAACCTTTGTAATATCCGCTAATTGAGTCCATGCCTTCATAAGCGATACAACTTCAAACTGTTGGAGATGTGTTTCCATTAAACCCGACAATTCACCCACGCGCTTGAGAACATGATTTTCGAAGACATCTACGAGTGTCCCAGCTGTAGCTTCCAGAAGATGGCTAAAACATAATTAAAAATGGAAGGACGGCTTGCGTAAGCTACAATACCTGATTCTGTCCCCTACGTTTTTTTGTAGAAGCGAGTTTAGCAAAGCTCTCGCTGACCATTCAGTGGGAGTATTAGCATACATGAACAGGTTTTTGGTAGTAAAAAGATCGCAAAGAACCGGCTAAAAAAGATTTAGTGTAACTGATAAGCGAATGATGGTGTGATTACCTCCAAAATCTCCACGCCGTAGTTATTCTCTTCAACCCAAGCCTGCACTTGCTTAAAAAGTAAGCGAGATTCGCTCATTTTCACTGCGACCTCTTCAATGGAGCTGATACGCTGCGACAAAGCAGCGAAACATGAACCTAACACTGCTACATCGTCTTCTGAAAAATACGCCAAAAATATGAAAGAAGTATCTTGGAATGACTTCAACTTGCCATGACTGCATTTGCGACCGGCTAAGCGCAGCATTTGCCCGAAAAAGACTGCATATTTCTGCGTCATATCCGGTTTGTTGCCACAGGAGGGGATTTGCAGAGGGATATCTGAAGCTCGAAAAAACTGTAAATGAGCGGAAAAACGTTCAGAGCTCACCTGTGGGATGACCATTGTAAGCAACTCCGAGAACAGAGCTAACGGTAGGAAGTATGTACAAGGTTAGTGAATCGGATGAGTTGTAAGTTCTGTCATCAGTTAAATATCTAAAGAAGTATATCTCCTTACATCAACTTGAATGCCTAAGGCAAAGAGTAGAGCAGAAAATCTGCAAAACATTTCCTTACCCTAAATGTGAAGGAATAGTGCAATTGAGAATGAGCTCCGAAGAGTCAATAGATTTCCTTAGTTCAGACTCAATTTCTGCGCTTGTGGTGAGCACTTGAGCTTTTCTGCCAGCAAGAAAGCGAAGAAAACAGATGATGAGCTGAATTGTACTTTTAGAGGATAGTAGGATTTGATAATGAGTTTTACCTCTTCGAAACGTTCATCCAAAACATCTTCAAATGTGCGGATGAGAAAAGCGTAAGTTCTGATGAGTGGCAACATGTTTGAGAACTTATTGATTGTCGTTCGCGATCGTAGAGGCTTAGAGAATATTTGAATCAACTGAATATATTTCCCGCTCCTTCGTATTTCTGAACATTAACACTAGTCTGATAGTGTGCGCATCGCTCTACTCGCAAACCTTTTGGAGACTTCGATGAAACGAAAGCAATCAGCGCACTCCACTTCTCTAGACAAACCTCTACCGCTTCGCAGCCAGCATCGCCAAACCATTTCTCAATAGGCAGAAAGATCTGGCCCCAATCCTGACTCGAGAGCTGGAAAACATTTTTTCATGAAGGGGCAAGGATTTGAACTACTCTTACAATTAGGTACCTTGAACTGGGCACTGGCAATGAACAGTTCGGATAGGGCCAACCAGATCTGAGCGCCAAAAAGCCTTATGTCTTCATCGGACATTTTTTGATAAAAGGCTTCCAGAGTCGACCGGTCAGAGCTCACGCATGTTTTTACAGAGTCCAGTACTTGAGATGCCGATTTTCCTGGAAGATGACCAGGTTTCCAAACAAGAGGCCACATAACATCTCACAGGTGACTTTTCATCCAAGCATCCGAGGCTTTAGGCCTCGGACAGAGGCCGTTTGATCGTCGCGATTCAATCGCTACAAGACAAATGTTACAAGTTCATTGCATGCCAATCTTCTGTATTTCGGTTGTGATAGTTAGTCACGATTAGTCATGTTGGAAAACTATCACTACCGAAATGCGAGAAGATCGGCATGCAATGATATTGCTATTGTCCTGTCGCGATCAATCACGACGATGAAATCGCGTGAACTCTGCCCGAGGCCTTATGCCATGGCCATTCTTCGGCGATTTCGGTGCCACGCGATTTCCCAGATGTAATTCAGCGTCCCACCAAAGATTTTACGCCTATGATGCGCAAAACTTTGCGAGCTGATGAGATAATTCAAAATAATTGAATTTCTATTGGCCCAGAGTAATGACTTACAATTATCTGGAGATTACCAAATCGGGTAACGACTGAAATCGCGCGAGGTATGGCCAAGGCCTTGCTCTCATTATTTGTGTGTATAAGCAAAACGAAAATTAAAGGATATAAAGCACAACATAGTCTTACCTGAAGCGATAAAATTTGCTAATAGTTCATAAGTCTGTCCAATGCGAATGAAATCCGCACTCGAAATTTTCGAGTTGCTGGTAGAGTCTGTGAGAATTTTTGTAAGTTTCTCCGGCGACAGAAGGTCCGCTATTTGAGTGAATCTTCAACGGCAATTGATATGATGCAACGATACAAGCTTGAAAAGCTCAATAAGAATGTACTTACAATTTTTCGTTTGGGTTGATACGATACAGCGTAAGAAACCCATTTAGCTTATTGATATGCGCCATACCGCTCTGAAGCCTAGGAGAATGACTCGCCCTTTTCATTCGTAAACCAGAATTCCGTGAGAGGCTGAATGATCTCTTCTAGGACTAGCATCTGGACGAAGGACATACTCGAGAATTGGAAGACGAAATTTTGTGATATACATGATTCAAATTGACATTTCGAAAGGAGACAAAAGCAAAGTGAGGGGAAACGAAATCCAGCACAACGGTTGAGTTTTCGAATTTATTAAAGTCGCGCCGGCGTTGCCATGGCGCGCAAATGATCGAACGTAGCACGCCTCTGTCTGCAAAAGCTCCATTGTTTCTCTTACGTTGGATGTGGAATCGATTGAATGATGCACTTCGTACAATATAATCGAGGCTTTGCAAAGGACAAAAGGGGCTGTTTTGAAAGTGAGCATTGACTGGACAGAAAAATGAGAATCTTCACGCATGATGAGCATTTCTGCGCTTGCTGAGTTTTTGGTAGGGTCATGAAGTTAGGGTTTGGGGTTACAAAACCTGAGAATTTGTCGTAGAAGGTTGTTGGGCATGCTGATTGCGTATCTCTTCTTTCGTTTTGGTGACCCTTCAATGCGGGGCTAAACGCTCAAGCGGATTCTCAGCCTGCACTTCTTGTCATCTAAAGACCTTTCCGCCCTCTTACAAAATATAGAAAAAGTGGAATTGACAGTCTTCTCTCCACAAAGAAAGTATTTATTAGAGGACTTCTCCTTCAACAAGTGTCGAGACCTCACGTGCTATCGATTTCCAAGCTATTTTCTCCTTTTGGCTCAAAATTTGGGAACCCATTGTATATAGTCCATTCGTTGACCGCACGGACACATCACTGCGGAGCACGCTCCCCGAGGTAAAGCGCTTGCCCCGATACAGATTCGTCATTGTACAAGTCGTGCTCCCGCAGCATTTCAGCCGCGCCTCGCGTGGTCCGCAGCATTTGAGCCGTCCTTGCGGCCAACGAATCGACGATACGTACAGTCGACTGCACGACGCCCATAGGTAGGTGCCAGAGTAAGGTAGGTGCCAGAGTAAGCGAATATTTTGTTCAAGTTGGGGTCTCGCGCAGAACTGGCATCACTAATCATTGTGCCATAATGCCAACTTGGCGTGGTGCCACAATGATTAGTAACGCCAGTTCTGCGCGGGACCCCAACTTGAACAAAATAATCGCTTACTCTGGCACCTACCATATTGGTGTGGGCTAAACGCACACGAGCGTGCTTGCAACGCGGCTGCCGAGTATGGGCGCTGTGATGACTTATGACTAATGCCAATGTTAGCTCACAAAGGACACGCTCGCGGGCGTTCAGCCACGGCGATTCGGGCGAGTCCGTGCAGAACCATACACAGTGTTTGAAAGACCTTTGGGCGATTCGTAGCCGCAAAGAGCAGACATATCGGCGTCTCACTGGTTGAGCGCTCTCTCGTTTCTCGTACTATCTGCTGTCTCTTCCATGCACAAACTGTTTTGGGCGGACGCAATGGCGCCCAGTCTTTGCGTGACATGAATCGTATATATTTCTTCATGGTATTCATCTGTGTTTCTTTTGCTGCCTTTTCCGATCTATAATGCAGCTTTGGGAAAGTGCAGCAGCCAACTGACAGAATATTATCGTACAGGCGTGAAAAATCTGTTATTTGTGATTAGCTAAGGCTTTTTCTACCAGATTGTTGTCAAATATCAATGTGTTTTGAGAATTTGAGCCAATTCAGTCTTGGCTCTGGAGTCGAAGTTTAGAAATGACACTGGATAAACTGGCGCAACATGAGTCCCATGCTTACTCAATGGCGTGACTCGACCGCGCCGTCGCACTGTCTGCAGCCTGTTGTAGTGTCTGCGTTGGAAGAGCCATACCACACTTACGTATCATTTACAAGAACGTTGTTTTTAAGTGAGTGTTACAATATTTATTATGCTTATTACTGCATTTATGTACAGCATGCACAGAATACCTGTAATTCAAAGCTATTTCAATAAATGCCTGATATTCGCATCTAAACCTGCTATGACAAAGAATATACCCAGCAAAAAGAAAAATGCATTATTTGACAGTAACAGTACAATATCCTTATATCGGTTTTCTGCTAGGTAAACCGGAAGATACGTCGTCACATCAAGGGTAGCGGGTATTATTAAAGCCAACATCATTCCTGCAAAAAAGTACAACTCTAAGTTCCTGCAACTGATACTCAGTCCTTGTCAACCTTGTGCTCTCTTTTCCACCAGCCAAATCGCAACACCAAAGCCTCGCGCCGCGTTTGCGCGCGTATAGCCTGCGCATTCAAAATTCGCCCCATCAATAGGTGTTGCCGCGCTAGACCCTTGCGCTGCGGACGCATAGCTGCTGCGGAGAAGGGAGTACTTGGTTGACATCGAGTGTATACAAACTATGAATTTGCCTAATTGTGGGTGACACTGCATTTCAAGTAAAAGTCCATTCTAGAAGAGCTAATTTTGGTTGTATGTAATATCTTGCCTGCTGTGACGCCCACCAAGGGTATGAGGTCTTCAAGATTCGGAACCAGGAGTGCTATCGTGACTGAAAGGATAGTATTGGTGTGGAATAAAAGATAAAAGCCTGATTTTGCACTACATGCTGATGACAATACAATAATAGCAATCCATAGACAACAATATTCATAATTTAAAATCTATACTTGCGTCCCCCCACAGAGCCAGTGTAAATATGGTCTAGAAGGGCAACGCCTAAGATGGTGTTCTTGCGATGATGGCAATAACTGCGCGTTAGCTTTGCACTCTCTGGCCATTCTTCAAATTCACAGGCAGAATAATATCTGCTCCAAGACGAAGGCGGTTGCCCAAATAGGTTGAAAACATGCAAAGCTGCGGCGCGCGCGCAGTTGTCAACCACAGGGCGCGCGCACGCTCGGTCAGCGGTCATTCAAGCGAGCGTGCGCGCGACCCGTGGTTGACAATTGCCCGCGCGCCGCGTGCGCGTCAGCCTTGCATGCTGTCAACCTATTCGGGCGACCGCCTTCGTCATGGAGGAGATATTAAAGTTTGTTTTCGCGCGACTGTTGTCATCACCGCAAAAGCATTATACTGATTGTCGAGTCCACCAGATTATAGGCTAACTGGATTCTATTTTTGGCCAAAATACGGCACATTGTTTCATTGAGTTGGTCGTTCTTCGTCTCGTGCAAGGATCAAAAATATTTGGTTGGTCCGAAAATTTTTGCGCAACATATTTAAAAAATCATAACTTCTTCGTATCTCGATGGATTCCTTCAACAGTAATTCTATGTGAAAGCACAGATCAAGCTCTTTACAGCAGTAGGCTTTCTGAAATAGTAAGAGAAATTTGAGAGATAGTCAATTGAATGAAATTATTCAAAAATGGCATTTTCCAAGCAGGGTCGCAAAAAATTCTGAAAGTTTTTTTGCTTGGCAGAGAAAATTTTGCGCATTACAATGGCACCTTTCCCATGGATTAGAATGAGATAATTCGTAAGTTAGAAGCAAATAAAAAAAATTCTTCAGCTGCAATTTTGGAGCATGCTCATAAAGGCTTCAAACGTCACAGCCGAGACCGAAACAGTCATCAATTATGACCACTTTCCAGCTGAGCGAAATTCGTACTATTCTAGAGCAGATTTGATTTTCGTGGAATATGCAGCACAAAAATCCGAAAAATACACGAATATCAAATCCGCTCTCGATAGCATGAATTTCGCCCAGCTAGAAAAAGAGCAGGTCGTAAAACCCAGGTTTATGACTGTTTCGGCCTCTGTTGTGATGTTTTTAAGCTTTTTTGAGCATGCTCATAAATAGCAAAACTGAAGTAATTCTCTTCATTTGCTTTCACTTCTCCGACTCTTTTTCAATTCATGGCAAAGGTACCGTAGTAAAGTGCAAATTTTTCTTTTCAAATTAAAAAAAACTTCCAGACTTTGACCCCCTTGAAAAAGATCAATTTTGAGCAATTTCACCAAATTGCTTCTATCTCTTGCATTTTCTCATATTACTTTACCTGAAACTTACAAAGAAGGTGATATGTGCTTTCATATAGAATTACTTTCAGAGAATCCATTGAGATAAGAGAAAGTTATGATTTTTGAAAATTATGCTCAAGAACTTTTGGGCCAACCCAGTATATATTGTAGTGTGGCGCTAGTGGCCCGCCCTTCTTACGCAATCATTTATCGTTGATGGTATAAATTTACTTATTCCTTGCTTTGCTACTCCATTAGATTGAAGGCAGTGGCTCGGCAAAACCAAACTTCCCAAAATTTCTTATATGGAAGATTGCTTGCATCCCACACATGAGAACAGAGCAGGTCCTAACGCACTACATGCTCCCCCTGCCTGGAAAACTGACTCTAATCCCGTGCGCACAAGCCATTCTTACACGCGTTCAGACGAGCTTGCTTTCCCCCTCCCACCGTCAAAGGCGACATGCCGCAACAAAAAAAAAAGAACTCTCAAAAAAATGCCTATTTTCAACATTTTCGTGCTCTTCAAAATGTATTTTCGAAATCAGCGCGTCGAATTATCCCAGGTAAGCGAAAAAACCTTGGGTCGGGGATTTGCCGAGCCACTGCCTTTAACACGTTGACGACCGCGCCATTTTGGGCGAAACTCCCACTAACGTCCTTCGCGCAGTTGGCCCGTGCATACGCGCGGATGCACGAAAACACTATGTGGGAGTCTTTTTGTCACTTATTAATAAAACATGCGAACTTTGTTCAGACATACAGGTATATCACAGAGCCTTACCAGGACTTACACAAATCAAGGTTTTTGCATCGATTTTCCCTCCAATAATCCATGCAATGGCTATATCTGAGGAATCGCTCTTCGAGAAAAGCGTTATAAAACCAGATGTTTTTTTTCTGATTCATCTTTGCTTGGTTTCAAAACAGCTATACAGAGTTTTCACCTTCTCGAGAAAACGTAATTAGCATGTATTGACTACATCAAAGACGTACTGATTACCCAATTTTGCGGCCAAAACTTCTGAACAGCTGCCGCGATGCCCTGTGTTCTGTAAGACAATCAGGTCACTAATAGTATTACTGCATAGAAGTTACCTTAAAACTTTTCGTTTGCACCTAAAAAACTAGCGTGCATATGCGCGGATGCACGAAAATGCTAAACGGGAGTCAGGGCGTGCATACGTGCGGATACACAAGGTCGTCAACGTGTTAAATAGTAAAAATGAACTTACTGCATTCTTTTTGTTGTTATCGTTTTTTGGAGCTTGATTACAACAACAGCGATCTTCTCTCAGAGTTCTGTCAAAAATGAAAAAAAAACAGTAATGCTTTCTTGAGGGTCATTGGATCCATTGATGATAAAATGATTCAAAAACCATGCAAAGAAATCTCAAGAAAATATAAAGAGTTTTGAGGAAAAGTACGAACTTTATCTGAAAGATTGAGCCTTTCGCAGAAGTTTTGCTACTCTTTAATCTTCGAAATATTTCTGTCTGTACCAGATTTTTGCACCCATTACATTTGTGATTACAGCTTCAGCGCAATTTAGATGATTGGCATGTAATTGACAATCAAATTATCTCTTCGAACCATGTGCGCCAATCATAACTTTTTGCACTATAGTCTCTCTCTCATTCACTCTTTTGCTTACGAGTATATTGCATTTGTTTTGAAATAATTTGCAATCAACATACACGAAAGCAGTACAATGACAGTCCTCAGCACGTAGTCGCTGATCTTCGCCGTTTTCTTCGTGTCGATTGCTTTCCGCTGGGCGAATCTCAGCAATGATGGTTTGAGACTTTCTACCAAAGTATAAAGCTGCAAGAGATAACCAGTGTAGACCACCAACGCCATCAAAGCTTTCATGCTGAGATTCATGCTGAAAATAAACATGTTCGAATTATTGGTATTAGTTATATGAAGTGAAGACCCTTTTATAAGATTCCATCGCGCATAACTATGTTTGAAAAAATTTGGTTGCACCGCACTAACAACAACATTTCCGCGACAACAAATACAGTCGAGTAGATTTTCCGCCTAATTTAGTGTGCTTGCACTTCAGGTGAGATGCGGTAAAATTTGCGCGTGAAAAAATAGCTACGCCTGTGACGCCTTCCATTTGCGCGCGCAGAATGCCGGCATTATTGGCATGGCTAATTTTTTACGCGCAAATTTTACCGCATTTCACCTACAGTCAAGCACTCTATATTAAGCGGAAAATCTACTCGAGTGTATCATACTTGTAAATGCAGGCAGTTCGCTTGCGACTTGCGCGTAAAAATTCACCATAGAGCGCACATTGCAATTGTTTGAGCGCAAATGGTGTTGGCAACCCAAAAACACCATGTCAACTGCTATTTAATAATAAAAAAATCTACTAAGCTATGTCCTCTGCATTTTCTTACATCGAATTTTGCAATATTTTCCTCAGAATTTTACAAACTGAGCTCATATAGCGCACTAATCCTTCTTCGTAACAGAAAAGCATTTTGCTTATTTTCTTGTCCAACAACGTCATCCTCAAATCAGGGAGGGATTTGAGAAGAGGTTCGATGATTAGAGTCACTCGTCATCAGAAAAAAGTGCATTGACCTCTCGATGAACATTCGTTTGAGCTGCTTGTTACTGGGTTTACCGAAAACATTTCCTTCATCAAAGCTTTCAGCGTAATTAAGACACCACTAGCTCATCTGAGCCCAGCATTATAGAACATCACATGCACTGTGGATCCTGAACCTTGAATAGAAACGAGCATCCAATCTTGAAAATTCTATTACGGTTCAGGACATTTTGAGACTCAAGGAGCAACAAAAGAGTTGCACTGTGTTTTCGTTTCACCACGGCTTTGTGTGATTGCAGTATTTTTTGAATTTATGCAATGTATTCGGCGGCAAAAGTTAGAGGTTGCGGTAGTGGTCTGCAAAGGTCTCGACGCGATAATGATGTGGCGCCAAAGGGCGGAGCTTTGATTGCATTTTGCACGTATTGCCGCTCTGCTCCGCGTGCTCTCGCCAGGTGACATTTTTTCAATTACTATTTTTCATTTTACTTTGAGCGAAACTTCAAATATGACGTAAAAGTAGCATTTCTGACAAACGTACTCGGTTCGCGTTCTTTCTCCTTCACATATGCATAAGTTCACCAAAAATGCAATCATTCAATAAAAAGGGCGACTACGTCAAAGGCCATTCCCGGGTAAAGGCAGAGGCTTTCATGACGTATGCGCATGCGCTTCAATAAGCTTCAGTTTGTCCCAGTCGCGATTAAGCCGAAACGTTGACGTAAACCGCGCTGCGTATGCGCACTGTCAGAGCAGACAAGCTAGCCGTAGACGTGACGCACAATCCTCGCGACGCGGACTCCCGCCATGCCAATTTTGTCCTGATTGTGATTGGGACAGACTATACAGGTGCTCGGCCGCTCGTGCACGTACGCCCGCTATGATAAATAACCCGCCGTCTAGCGGGACTAACCTTTACTAGATTTTCTGCAAATACAGACTAGTTGTGAAAAAAAAACTCACATTCCGTCATCCATATTTAGAGTGATGCTTTCTCTCACATTCTTGCCATATGTGACATAACCGAAAAATCCACATGCGGCGTAACATATAGTCACCTGAAATTATACAGCTGAAAAGAAAGCATTTGAAAAATTTCTAGAAAATACCAGCGAGATCCCTGTTGACAGAACGCCAGTGTATCCTCGCATTTCAACTGGGTATTTCATTTTATTCTCCAAAGGAAGAATCTAAAATAAGTTTATGGTATCTGGATAACTCCCCTCGAGTTCTTGTCAACTTCCTTGGTTCATGTCGGGCTCAACGAAAAAATATTATGATAGGAAAGTAAACAGAACCATGCATTTGATCTTGATTGCACTGATACTTCTTGAGTCCAAGCTAATTCACTATTTTCAAAATTTGTTTCTATATAAAAATGAAGCACGGCCACTGAGGATTTCTTTGCTCTTTCAAAAAGTTTCCTTCTTTCATGCAAAATGCTTATCTTCCGTTCTTTGTAAAGGTGCAGTCTAAAATGCATCTATTAGGTTGTCTCATAAGTTTTTTCAATTTCTCAATTTTGATTGAGATGCAGGGTACCGTTCGATAGAGCAAAGCAAACTTTATAAGATGCTTTATATGTGTTCGCACCAGATTCAGCATCACGAGTTAGAAGCCGAAATCTGAGTAGTTTTGATTGCCCAAAAAATTGAAAATTATCTGCAACTTTGTCCAAAGAAAACTTACCAGATTCAAAACTCGCTCACACTTATGCACTCCACTCAACACATTCATATATGCCGTTGCTGTGTTTGTTTCTGTTCTAGCAACCGAGAAAATCAAAATTTTCAAGCTTTCAGAAAAACGATGGTCCGGATCGGTTCAGAAATGGAATTTTCTATTCGGAACATACGTACAGAGATACAGACAGACATACAGACAAACACATTCAGCTTTATATATAAGATTGATATTCCTCGGGAACTAGAGCTCATAAATAGCTGGAAATCTGTGATTATACTTCTAAAGGCCTGTAGTATACATTCACATGTGTGAAAACAGTGCAGCATCGCTTTTTTGAAAGCTTGAAAATTTTGGTTTTCTCGGTTTCTAGCACAGAAACAAACACAGCAACGGCACAAATGAATGTATTGTGTGGAGTATACATGTGTGAGCGAGTTTGGAATCTAGTACGTTCTCCAAGGAAAAGGTTACAGAAAATTTTCAATTTTTTGGGCATCCAAAAGTTCTCAGATTTCGGCTTCTAACTAGTGATGTGCTAAAGCTGGTGCGAACTCTTACATGCCTTCTTGTAGGGCTTGCTTTGCTCTATCGAACGGTACCGTGCATCTTAATCAGAATTGAGAAGTGTATGATATTGCTTCGAAAAGTCAAAATTGAAAAAAAAAACTTATGAGACAACCTAATAAATTGCAGGATTCGTTGTGAATACCAAAGATTTTTACAAAAATGTCAACAAAATTTTCCTCGTGTTTTTCATTGAAAATTGTTCACTTTTCAATTATTTCTAACAGAAAAAACTACATATAGAACTCGCCAATGCTTGTCCTTCAAATGAATACATTACAGCACCTGCAGCCAGCAATAAACCACGAAAATTTGTATAGGTTGGTAATTCCCTGGTAAGATGAGGAGCAGGCAGAAGTTGCTGAATCGCTTTGTTTTGAAATTTTCCAATAACTGCATTCTCAAAAACTTACCCAAAATATAATTATTATGGCTAGAACCATGAAGATGTTACCGGCCAAACTGACAAATGACATTACTCGAACATTTCTGAAATTATTTCATTTCATCGTTTCATCTTAATCTTGAGCAACATTTTTGTTCTGAAAGTTTTCCACTAGGAGCATCCGTAAATGGATGTCGACTCATACGATATTTTCTACTACCTGGTACCAGGAAATGCGATTAGTTTTGCGTCTTTCCGTTAGTCGTAGTACTCTGACATCACTTGATTGAGAGTGCGCACTTGAGGCTTATAGGGTCATTTGCAGTTCGTGGCTATTTAAAGGTGTCTAGACAAATCTGGGTATTTGGGTTCCTACGTGGAAACTAATGTAATTGAGAGGCCACTGAGTAAGCTCTTGCCCAGACGACAGCTCGTGTGATGTATTCTGGCCGAGAAAATTTCCAGTCCAGACCGTAGTTTCTACCGTACCCGAGCGGTGATTGGTCCGCTCTGGAAGATTAGTCCGGGTTGAGGTTTTCAACTCAGTTTCTTGGTCATGAATGAGTCATATGGACACCGTTTGGACTGTGGCTCAGCATAGGCCTCCCTATCTCTACTCATATTAGAAGTCCCAGTGTTCAAACTTGCCTAGGCGGTGTCTCCCTTTAGAAACTTCCGGTTTTTTTCCTTCGTTTCATTCATTTTCGAACCTCACAAATAGATATGTAAACGACATCAGCGCTTTTTCATCTTTTTTTTTTGTCGAATTAGGATATGTCATTTGCAGGGATAAACAATGACTTAACGCATTGTACTTGTTCGAAGTTCATCACTAGCACTGTGGTGTTCATTACCCGGTACATTCTAGCGAATTACACTATATATATGTCAGAATATTGCGATACTTGTCCGGAATTTTATGCAACAATTTGTCCGCAAAATGCACAATCGCGCTCAATTACCATTGTGAAATTAGTAGATTATCTAATGACCTGATGATGCATAACAACGAACAACGATTTTTTAAGTGCTTCTAGGTTTTCTACTTTGTCGATCGTCTTTTGTCTGCAGGAATTACACAGCATTGTTCTGAGCGAATTTCCCCCTCATTTTAATAATTACGTATAGACCTGCATGCGAGCGCAACAACAACAAAAGGTGAATAATGTCAAAATGCTAATTAATATGAAGCAGCGACAACGTAAAAATATCAATAACGATATCGGCTGTTGGACCGAAGATCCTTGATAATGATTCCAAATGAAGAAAGCTTTGCAACTCTTACATTTCTCGTTTTTCTTGAGGGCCAAACTATACTAAATTCACTATACTACTCGTCATTTGTAAATCATATGCCTACTGCACACCACACATGCTACTTCACGGCTCATGTGATTAGGATTTTTGTTTTCCATGGAATTCCCCTTTTGTCTCCTTTTGGTTTCTATCAGTAAAACAAAGCATAACATTTCAATATTTTGTTCTACAAGAGAGAGAGACTTTGGTAAGGTGTTACTATGGAAGAATCGTAATTTGCCGCGCATGGTGTGCAAACTCAGAAATTCAGTTATAAATGACTTTCCCATATGAATAACTAGCTTGCTTACCCGGCTCCGCCCGGCCCTGTCAAAACACTATGTCAAAGAACACTATCCCAATTCTTGTACGAACCTTCAACCTTCCCCTGTGCCCACGCCTATATGCCAAATCACTATTCCCGCTGTTTTAGTAATCAGCATACTCGATTACCCCCCTGTGCCAACTCCCAGCCCCGTTGCTCAAACTTTGCAAAAATCGATAAAATCGATAAAAGTAATGGATGATTTCAAAATCTTATGGTATTCGTAATCAGCATGCTCGATCACCCCCTATGCAAATTCCCAACCGCGCACGTCAAATTTTACAAAAAATTGATAAAACCGATAAAAGTAATGGACGATTTCAAAAACTAATATTGTATTCGTAATCAGCATGCTCGATTACCCCCCCCCCCCTGTGCCAACTCCCAGCCCTATAGCTCAAACTTTACAAAAAATCGATAAAATCGATAAAATAATCGATAATTCTGAAAACTAATATTGTATTCGGAATCTCCATGCTCGATTACCCCCTGTGCAAACTCCCAGCCCCGTAGCTCAAACCGATAAAATCGATATCGATCGATGACGAAAAGTAGCCTATGACACCCGCCGGGGCCCGAAGTGTATGTGTGCCAAGTTTGGTCCGGATCGGTTCAGAAATGGAATTTTCTATTCGGAACATACGTACACACAGACAGATATACATACATACAGACATACAGACAAACAGACATTCAGCTTTATACAGGGTGTCCCAAAAAATGTGAACACTGTTTGATCATTAATAACTCTCTTGCTTTCATATCTTTCGCCGAGTTTGAGGCACCATTCTGTAGAGCGAGGTTCAACTTAGATTTGTAGTATGGAGCGAATCACCGATCGCTCTTCGTTACTGTAGGATTACGGTATGAACTTCTAGCATGTGAATCCATTGTGAAATATGCCATTTGACAAAATTTTTTTCAAATAATCTGAAAAATCGTGTACTAAGGTTTTTGCGCACGCTGATTACACTACACAACTTTTTATGAGTGCTTTTAGCTTTTTTGACGGTGTAATCACATTTCTGACAAATGCTGGAAATTCAATTATTACGGTTTACCTTGGATAACCTTGGAAAGAAACATCACAGTGAAGCGGAAACTTCATATTCGAAATCAGCCGCTTCCATTACCATAGTACAAAAGTTTTTGGCTTGTTTGGTTTTGTTCCGAGGAGAATATGGCCTCCAATGGCCTAAAATCCTTGTCGAAGTTGGTACCGTAATCCTACAGTAATGAAGGGCGATTGACGATGCGCTCCAAACTGTAGATCTAAGTTAATCCTCGCTCTATAAAATGGTGCCTAAAGCTCGGCGAAAGATTTGAAAGTAAGGGAGTTATAAACAATCAAACAGTGTTCACATTTTTTGGGACACCCTGTATATAAGATGCGACGGTAAGTTCTGGTAGTATGCCTGACCAAATAGTAAATAATTTTCTGAATAATGCGCTTATGAGGTGGCGTTTATTAGTATTGAACCATTTCAATGTGTTGCTCGCACTTTCTGTTTTCTCTATATTACTCATATACCTAATAGTCATCAGATTTACTAGGCATGCGGAGCGGAAGCAATAACTATAATGCGAAAACGCAAAAATTAGAGCTCGACGTGCATCACGCACACACCTGGCTACCTCTTTATAATGGCTTACGGTATGCAAACATTCGCTTCCGCTCCCTGCTTCCTATCTCTTCCGTGGGTAATGTTGTCTAACAAATTATTTGCATCCACAGCTTTCATGTATAGCTTGAACAGCCTCTGATCTCACTAATTAATGACTACATGCAGCATCTCCTTCCGCGTCAGGAGTTTTTTCGCTCCACTTGAAAAAAGAGACTCACCTGACATACGAAAGCAGCGTGAATGGCACAATAGCAATGATGAGGTAGGTAAGCTTGCTGAGTTGTAATGTCGGCCAAACATGGTTGAGCACCTAAGAAAAAGGAGGTCAAAGTAAGTCCAGGACTTTTTCATTTCTATCATGGGAACTACGTCATGCTTAATCCACAGTCCTGACAGTCATATAAAGAGCTCCACCCCTTTGGACAAGGGTGAGTTCCTAGTTTATGAGAGTCTGTATTACCTCAATAAATTATGTCAACCTCTAATTAGTCTGTTCATACTTTTGTGTAATTCCATTCCTAACTAATATTCTCCATGTTCACACATTTTCTTACACTCGTTTGTCTCCACTTTCACTTAGTTATGGTACAAGCCCTATAAGTATACAGACAAAATCTGATTGTTCATTTCTTCTTCACTTCAGTGTACTCAAAGTATTACTTGTCAATACGTCCAACTGGTACTCCAACTTAAGGTCTTGCTACCCTCTAAAATCTATCTTTACCTGGGTCTAGTCAGCTAGTTTCCACCCGTAAGCTCGCTGGCACTCAAAAAGGTTGTTAAAAATAATTTTGGAGGATGCAGATTCTAAAGTCGTACACTCATCAATATTTGTCAAAAAATGGGTATTGATATACTTTAGTGGGGGCCTTTGGTTGTGGTTCGCCTGTACGTTCACCGTTTATTCCGCTAAAGCATTGGACTAGCTGGTATCATGTTTGGTTCGACGTATTTGAGTTTTTTCTTTTTCCTTGGGTGTTAGTAAAATTAATTATTCCTTGAGTCGGCGTACCACGTGGAATGGCTTCAACTTAACCTGCACAGTAGCACAAATCGTCAGACTCTGCAAGATTGCGGTGAAAAATTGGGGTAATTATGAAACATTACGGGAACTACGTAACTATTGGAAGCACCCTTCGTATCTTTTTATAATACAATCCCATCTCTACTTTTCGGGAAAAAGGGCATCCCTTACCTGAATTGTATGATCAACGACGAAGATGTAGTATATTGAGCATACTCCAAGAACAAGGCTTGACAAACACAAATTGACGATGCGTCTGCAACATGGTAATACACTCCCTATGATCAGGCTTGTAACTTTCTGTGAGAGACATGTGTCCTAAAAATTTGAGAACTCCAATTCATCCGTCATATTTCGCTGACAAGGAAACGATACTTGGTGTCCGTGACCTTTTGAGATGAGATGTATACCATTACACTCATCTTGGAGCGCTGATTACGAATTCGACTTCTTATGAAGGATTTTTGCCCCAAAGGAGACGTGGTCGGAATGCCAAAACCGTTGCTAAGATGTGGTGTAGTGGCTAGTGCGATAGCCTCGCAAATTAATGTAGGTTTAGGTTCGAGTCCTTTTGTGTTTTTCAGTTTTGCACTGTCTCAATCAAGCTTCTTTTTGAAAGTTAGGCATCCTCGGCCGCATTTCTCTTAGGCGACCATTGACGCAGAAATCCTTCATAACTTCTTTCAGAGAAACGATTAGCAGGAAAGGAAGTCAGATTCGGAATCAGCGTTCCAAAACGAATGTGATGGTTTACGTTTCATCTCAAGAGGCCACGGACACCAAGTATCGTTCCCTTGTGAGAAAAGCCCGAAAAACCCAAAAAGCCCAAAAAACCCCGAAAAAGCCCAAAGGCGCCAGAAAAAGCCGGAACGTCCCCTTCCGCGCGCACGTTTTGGCGCTAAGACATACCGTCTGCGCCCCAGAGAGGTTCCCATATGAACCAGCGTGCGTACGTGGTGCGACGCTGCCTTTCGCTCTTTTTGTTACGTTTCTCCTGAGATTTCAACGGAAGTGCCCGAGGTTAACACGTTCAAAAGTGCGAAAGGCAGCGAGATGACGTGGTACCTATGGGAACCTCTCTGGGACGCAGACGATATGTATTTTTCGCAACCGTGTCTTTTTGGTTCATTTTTTGCCGTCTGTACATCAAAATAAAGTCAGAATTCAAAAGTTCGATTCTGTGTTCCGGCACTTTCGGACTTTTTCGGGCTTTTTGAGGCTTTCTTGGGCTTTCTCGGTTTTTTGGGTTTTTTTGGGTTTTTTCGGGCTTTTGTGGGCGCTTTTGGGCTTTTTTCGGCGAAGTATGACGGGAACCCAAAGCCCCATTCAAAAGCGGATTTTAGTACGTGGAAGCGGATTTTGAATATTACAGATTGCTAACAAAAGCGTGCTACATAGAGTTACAGAGTGCTACATTAAAGGCACCGTCCACTCAGATTCTCGATTTCCAGGTTTTTGTCAGGGCCTTCTCATGTCCCTGATTCCGAATATGAAGTCGAGAATCCACGAAAACCCCGACGCAAACTATGACTATCTGGCCGACGATAATTTCGCCGTTACATCCAATGTTCACAAAATATGTCATTGCCTTTTTTTCATGATTAATCGCTGTTTCAAGTTAGCTACATATTTCTAAGCGAGGTACCCATCGTCAGTCACTTATGAAGAGCATCAGTTGCACAAAGTGGGAATATTCAGATTCATGCGTTGGGTTGTAACATGCGTTTTGCACTGGAAACGGCCCTTTTGAACCGCTCGCTATCACAGCGCGCCTCTGAAGTTAATACTCGTTTATTTTTGTACATCTTTCGTGTCCAACATGATGATAGGGTTTGGCACAGGTATATTACATACTTCGAAGTTCGAACTAAGAATTTTCCCGCTGACTGTAAATGCGACTTGTTAGCTTTTCCAGCGGCGCCGCACGCGGCGAGGCGAGCGTCGCGCGCGAAGGGTTCAAAAGGGCCTACACCCAGTTTTATATTATACAGATTGAAACGGTGGACTAGGCATTTTAAAACGAATTTTTTGGAATTTTCGGTACAAGGCTTACATATGTTGCAACCTAATAAAATAAGCGGTTTCAATTCCGGAAGGTTATGAAGAAAAAATTGTTTTAGTAAGGCATCTCTAAGGATTTACACCTTTTTATTTTGCTTTCGTAACCAAAACTTGGTAATTGGATAGTACCACAGTTAAGTAAGGATGTCTGTCATTTAGATCATTTTCACAGCTAATATGTTTACAGGGGTGAAAGCAGAGCTCAAAAACTGTAGATTTGAGAGTGTGGTCGTATTGAATTGACGCATAATTTTTGCGAAAATTGTTGAGAACGTAATTTTTTCAAACTTCAACGTAATCGTATGATTTTATAAATATCAAAAAAGAAAGATCTTGCTCTTTTTATAAGTGTTGTCAAAATTACTTCCTGGCGACAACGACACAAGCTGATTAAAAGATACTCAAAAAGTGGTTGACGAAAATAATCACTGAAATCTAGTTTTAATTTTGTTTTTGGCTGATTTTGCTTGATATAATTATTTATCTAGAATATATCCAGGTTGTTGAAGCCAAAAACTTAATTTCCGACAGTTCAATCGAAATTAAACGTAACAAAATATGATAAATTACAACATTCATTATAGGAAAAAGTATATGGCAAAATTGGTAAGTTTTCAAGCAATTACAGAACGAATTCTTTTCATTTTCTATATAAAAACAAGAGTTATTTTTTAGCAGCACATTCAGAGCCTAATTTGTTAACATCTTCTCACCTTGCTATGTGTCCATGCTTCCGTAAAACTGGAAAGCTTTGCTTGAAGGATTCATCAGCCATTTCCGCGTAATTCAGAGTTTCCACTTTTGGTTGCCTAGAATATTCTTCCTTTGAAAAGTAGAACGAATTTTCTTGAATAATGACCGTAGATGATAAGATTCTATCATTCAACATACCTCGCGGCCAAGAATTGACTGCATCTTACAATTTTTGACATGCATATGCAAGTGACTAGTCCGATAAGAAAAACCAGGACAAAACCAGACTGCAATGAAATTTTTTGGGATTGACATCGTCGAAAACATCACGAAAATAAGAACAAAATTCAAGCCTAACAAGTAAAAAACTACCCAAAGTCCGGCTTCACGGAAAGCCAGCGGAAGTGAGAAGCAGCCAGGACCAATCATACCTTTGAGGAAATTGATCAGCGTTAGATGAGCCCTAAACATTTGAGATTTTCATGCTTTTCTTGCATCACTCTCTTTTCACTCATTTCCCTTTCTTCTTTCAGATATTGCCTTCACAATGCTACAAGAACTAGAAACTACATTGTGTTTCAAATACCCACGATAATCCTTTCTTCTTTGCTGCTTCATTTTCGACCCGATCTTGTGGTCTCTTTCTTGCAATTTCATCATCATATGTAAAATCTACAACGCTGATATTTGGCATTGTCACTCGTTGTTTTCCATGAATCTGCAAATCTTGCATGTTTTATCTGGGAAAGCTGATAGGCTATTGCCACAATAATCGAAAGCAATTTCCGGACATTTCCTTCAATATTTTCACAACGGACTTCACCCATTTTCTGTACTTTTCTTGCACATCCCAATACTATCTAGCCCGTTTTCTTTGCTTATAGCTTAGCGAAAACGCATACGCAAGCGAACCTTTCTCTTGAGACAAAACTGACATTCATCCTAGAGATTGTACGTATTTACAATTCTTCTGTGGAAATGCTCTGAGATAGTGTAGCTGCTGCCATTTACTGTCTCAAAACAGCTCTAAGAGTCAGATGCCGAAGCTTTTATCACTTCTGTTAGCCTAAGAGTTGGCTTGACGTCAACATACAGGCAACAACACATATTGTCCTCCGAGAAGCTTTCAAATCATAGTTTAGGAAATTGATACCGAAATAAAGCCCAGAAGTTTACGAAACAATTTCCGTATTTTAGCAATACTGTCTCGTTTTACTCCCACTCGATGCGGTGTATGGAATGTAACACATTGGGTATATGCAAGAGATGAGGCTTTCATTGCTCGAATAACACCAATTAGCGCGTTTTTAGGGCTTAATAACGTTCCAAAAAAATTCTGGATTTCTAAGGAAATACGTAAGATCGTTGTTAGTGCTGTTTGAGCTTACAAGGGAAGGTCAGAAGTCGAAGTGGCCAATCCATACAAACTGCATACCATTCGATGCAGCATGGAATGCTGATTTCAAATCTGTCTTCCTTATCTGCAGAGCGCCTTTGTAGGCGAAGTTATGAGTAGCTTTACTGCGAAAAAATCGTATAAAAAATCGCGAAATTAGACAGATTGTTGCTCTTTCAGCCCACCTCTAGGTACGGGTCATATGAAGTGACCTAGTTGCATGTTTTGGTCGAACACTGAACCGATAATGGCTTTGTACGGCCAAGTTTGCACTTTCTACGAAGGAAGACAGATTTAGAGTCGTTTTATGCTGCGTCTAATGGTATGCAGCTTGTATAAATTGGCCACGTCAACTTCTGACCATTCCTTTGTTAGATCTTGAAATAGATGTAATGAAAGTTGGAGGTTAAAAATCCGCGAATATGGAAGTAATCGCCAATTCGTAAATATTTCTATAAATTTCTCATCAAAAACCGTCAAACATAGCAAGTGGTCACTACATATAGTTAGTAAGCTAGAGCATTTTGTTTGGTATTTTTTGAAGATTCGCATAGCTCTAAACTGGACTGTTGTATTGGTGACCTCTGGAAAAATCGCGCTTCTTGACCGTCTACCAAACACAATAGGTTACATTAAGGGCCGGGCATGCTTCACGCGATTTCAGTAGCGACGCGATTTGGCAACATTCCAACTGTCCATAACTTAACTCACTGTAAGCACATTTCAAAAGTACAGAAGACAGGACATTTTATCAATCCACGTAAGTTATACACACTATGCATTTGCACTTTGCTAGTGTTGGATCTGAAGACTTCTGGCGAATTGCCAAATCGCGTCGCGACTGAAATCGCGTGAAGTATGCCCGGCACTTTAGATTCGCAAAGACCCAAAGAAAGTTTAGACTTGCCAACAATGATGTTTGAAAAATTTTCCTGTGTATAATCCATGGTTTTATGTTTTTTGGTACTAAGGCAGTTCAGTATTTGCTAGTTGAGAGCACTGATGCTTTTGAAGATTCTTGCTATATCTAAAGGATAGAACTCTAACCGTCCTGATGTGGTTTTGCAAAGAAAACATCAGTATCACCCTCAAGGATTCTTTATAAATTTATCGGAGAGAAAAAACAGCAAAATTTATGGAGCTAGGAAAAATCGACAAAATTTCTCGCATGTGGAACTAACCATCTACCCCTGAGCTACACTCCTCATTTTACTTTTAGTCGACAAGTATACTTGTACAGAAACCACAGTAGCTCATACCCAACCAATTCTTAGCAAAAATTTGCCATTAATTCTTATTAGTGTTGAATAACACAACCTAAGCATGGATTTCACACCCGAATTACTTCTTCATTAGCTGATAACATTTATGGAACTTAAAAACATCTTCGTCATGAAAAAGGCGTACCCCATTGTTTAAAATTGCTTTACCTTACGACGTTGATGGCGGTAATGGAATGAAAGGAATTTCTAATTTTGGAAGGAGGGAGCAGAGCAAACAATGGGTCAATTTGCAACGAAGGAAGAGAAAATGTCACTAGTTTTTTTTTATATGGATTGCAGATTATCCTGCTACCGACGTCAACCCAAACGTTTTTCTAGAATCACTTAACACCCAGGGGCAGAAATACCAAGTTTAGGGTTGGTTTGGTGGTAAATATTCAAGAGAAGACGAAAAAATGGTGTGGATAAGAAAGAATCATTGATTCAAAATAAAATAAGGGTCATAACTAGCACAGCTGATAGTAGTACTATTTTACTGCGCAGTGTTTGGTGTATAAACAACAAACAAAGGTTTGCTTGCAGTGTAAGGGTGGAATGAAAGAGAATGATTGGTGAAAGAAGAACTACTAGCGATAGCAGCTGGCAGCTGCACAAAGTGTTGACCTAATATCATCAAGATTTAGATCGTAAACACATGTGTTATTCAAAGAAAGTGTTTCGTCGAAGAAAGATCGTGGAGAAGCTGCCTGCAACAAAACACAAAAGCTTTCCCCGAGAGTATTTAACGTTTCATCGAAAATCGCGAGTTAACAGAGATAAAACGAGAAAGCTCTCAGGGGACTTCAAGATCTGAGAAAAAAACTTTTGTTCTGGGTTTTTGAGCTGAAGTAATCATGGAGTAAGAAAAAGTCATGATAAGCAGTGCTTGAACTGTCATATTTCAAATTTTTGCCAGAAACTTTTTTCAGGTATAACTTATTTTTTTTAACATGATGAGCGGTCGTACAGAATTTGATCTACTTTCTACACGAAAAAGAATAGTATGTAATCACACATTTATTTTCTTTTCGCTTTGGCACTACTGATTTGGTGACCTTTTTAGAATAACTGAAAATTCACCTGAGTATTCATCATTCTTGGAGAAATAGTATATTTTTTTGGTTTTGATCCCCTCCTTTTCCCTACTTTTAATTTTTGAGAATAACCTATAGCAAGCAGAAGAGGATCGATCAGATTTTGCGTAGCTTCAAATGGGATCTACAACTGAGCCCCTAATTTGGGTGGAAAAGACGGTCCACGACGTATTAATCTTAAGAAACCGTCGGGAATCCATAACTTCGTTCAAAATGATTTTCTAGTGATGGAATTTTGATATTTGGAAAGAAAATTCATAAAGATTCGAAAAACCACTGAAAATTCAGAATCCAGTTCTATAGAAAGAGTTTCATTCAATTACCCAGACGAACCGTCGTGAGGATGAAATGAAAACCCTTCAAGTAAAAATAAATTCTGAACATTTGATGGTTTTTCAAATCCTTGTAAAATTTCCTTTCAAGTATTAAGATACGATCACGAAAAAATCTTTGAACAAAGTTACGGATTCCTGACGGTTTCGTCAGATCAATGCCTCGGAGGCCGTCTTATCCATTCGAAGGGGCTCAGTTGTAATATTTTCTGCCTGCTTCATTTTGGTTTTAGAGAATAAGGAGGGAGTGGGCGTGCGGGGGGGGGGGGGGGGGGAGGAGGTAGGAACCAACATAGAATTTACTTTTTATGAGGTATTCTCGAGAAAGATCTCTAAATTCTTTCGGAACGGTTAGCCGCAGATCAACAAAACTGAGGGTGACGCAAAATGAATACAGTTCTTTGGCACATCAGGTTCTTTTCGTTTAAGGGAATAAATGAGTGTTTTTGCACGACAGACTTATAAAAGAGGACCAACAAGTGAGACAATAGAAAAATAGACACTTCTTATCGTGAAATACTAAACGAAAAAGGTTTTTTTGTGCAAGAGCAGCGATCGTTTTGCATGACAGATCAATGTTTTTAGGTTAAGGGAATGTAGTACGCTCCCAGCAATTAGCAATTAATACGACAACATAGGTGTCTATCAGCTAGGTGATGGATGATCGCTAGACTGTCATCAATACTGTCATTTACGCTATGCTAGGCATAATCGATGGTTCCGTTGTAATTTCATGCGTTTAGTGATTCGAAATCCAGTCAGGAATAAGTGAGTATGATCAAGCTTGGGTTGTAAGATTAAGATCAGATCTGAGTGAAGCGACAGGCGAACGATCAACAACTTTGAAAGATCTGTGATCATTAAATGTGGCACTTTTGAAGACCCCGGTTTAATTTCGTTGACTGGCGTAGACACTCATCAGTTTTGAAAAGAATGCGGCACATGTTACATTCCATTCACACTTATGACATACTTCCAGGTAATTGCTGATTGGTCTAGTTTTGTAATTACAGCAGCAGGCCTTCGAAGAAACTAGAACCAAAAAGGAAAAGGAATAAACTCACATATCTGGAGTCTGTTTGCTAAAAATGTAAAAGTATTATCTTCAAAGAGCAGAGATAGAGTAAGGAAGGGCAAATAAAAGTTTGAATGAAAAGGGAGCCACTGCTTGCTCACTTTTTGTTTTCATTTAGCAAACGTAGAATCAATACTCGCATTTTAGGAAGCTGGATTCAAATCTGCTTTCTCAACACGGATTTGAAATAACTAAATCATTGTTAGGTAATCTGGCTCTCTCAAAATCTCCCATGGCCAATTGTCACTGAGCCCTTGGCACTTTTGTTCCTGAATTCTGACATATAGAAGCAAAGCAAAAACTCTTCCAAAGGCTAGACTTGATTTGTCAAGAAATGGAGATTAAGCAAGAAGAAGGGACTTTTTAACAAATGAATTTGGATTTGTTGTTGTTCGTAAAGTGGCCATGCAAATTTGGAATCTAAGTTGTCTAAGTGCTCGTTCAACTTTACCCTGCGGTTGCCTCCTTTAACTCCCTGAATAACGTATATGTTAGTCTCTTTATAATTCTTGATTCTTTGAGATTTATCGATAACCAATCCTTTCTGTTCTATGCTAGTTAGCATTTTTAGTTC